TTTAAGGTACTTCCGTTTGGCTTGTGCTCAGCCCCGGTAACGTTTCAGCGACTAATGAATACCGTACTATCAGGCCTCAAGTTACAGACGTCCTTAGTATATTTAGATGACGTCATCATATTTTCTGCCCCATTCAACGAACACGTCAGGTGACTGCACTCAGTATTTCAAGCTATCCGTTCCGCTGGACTAACACTTAGGCCAGAAAAATGCCACTTCGGCTTCGAAGAGCTTCTGTTCCTGGGGCATCTTGTCAGCAGTGAAGGCGTGCGGCCTGACTCTGAAAAAATAGCTGCCGTTACGAATTTTCCAGCGCCAACTGACAAAAAGGCGGTCAGACGGTTTTTAGGACAGCCGCATAGTTACAAATCCTGGCGACATTGCAAATCATTTCAACACATACTTTCATAGCGTGTTTAATGTTTCCGGAGCATCTACGTTTTCTGTAGCGTCATCTCAACCATTCGAGGTCAATTTCATTTCATATGCTGGTTTGGTTTCCATGCTTGTAAACCTAAATACGAAAAAGAGTTGCGGTCCTGACGAACTGCCCAATGCCTTTCTCCGACGTTATGCCGAATGCGTTGGCAAATTCCTCTTTATAATCTTCCATGCTTCCCTGTCAACAGCAACTTTGCCGCGTGACTGGAAAATGGCCCGAGTGGCGCCTATCTTCAAAAAAGGCGACAGATTATCAGTACCTAATTACAGGCCAATATCGCTAACTTCCTCATGCTGTAAACTAATAGAACACATTATAGCGAACCAGATTACAGAATTTCTTGAAACACACTCTATACTAACACATTTCCAGCACGGGTTTAGAAAAAAGTATTCGACCGTGACGCAGCTTGTTACCGTTACGCATGCATTTGCCAGCGCCCTCGATGACAACATTCAGATAGACACCATTTTTCTAGACTTTTGTAAGGCCTTCGATAGAGTTCCTAATGAGAAATTAATGTGCAAATTAAATAAAATAGGTCTTCCGAAGGTATTGGTCGCATGGGTAGCTGAATACCTGAATAATCGGGTGCAGTACGTCGCCATCGAGGGTCAAAATTCGAGTCTTTTGCCAGTCACGTCGGGTGTGCCCCAAGGCAGTGTATTGGGGCCCTTGCTATTCTTGTGTTACATAAATGATATTGTAGATGTGATTGAGCCAACCGTCCAGATTCGTTTGTTCGCAGACGACTGCGTTTTATTTCGTGAAATTCATAACAAACATGATCAAATAGAGCTACACAAAAATCTAGACTACATATACAAATGGTGCAACAAATGGGGTATGATTGTAAATACAGAAAAAACAGTTTCCATGTGTATAACTCGAAAAAAATATCCCCTTCACTATGCTTACTCCCTTGGTTCATCTACACTTAAACAGGTCAATAACTACAAATATCTAGGTGTTACGTTCACTACTAACCTGTCTTAGAATTCACACATTGAAAACATTTGTGCATCTGCTTTCAGAAAATTATGCTTCCTGAGACACAAGCTCCGCAATTCACCACCAAGTGTAAAACTTCTGTGTTATCAATCCTACATTCGACCAAAATTGGAGTACGCATGCGTAGTGTGGGATTCCTACACCAAATGTAACATAGACAAATTGGAAAGAATTCAGAGAAAAGCAGTTCGCTTTATATATTCTAAATTTCGTCACACGGATTCTCCATCTGAACTAATGTCAGCTAACCACATTCCACTACTTCAGTCTAGAAGAAGGCAACTGCGCTTAGACTTCCTGAGTTCCTTGCTTAACCATAGAGTTTCGATTGACCCTTCATTGTATTTAACCCCTTTGTCAACCAGATATACACGACATCACCAACCAAACTCTTTTACACCATATTTTGCTAGAACAGATACATATAAATTTTCCTTTTTTCCGCGAACAGTGTCTGAGTGGAACACCTTGTCTGAGTGTGACCGCCCTGCATAGTATGTATGTTTGTCTCATAGTGTATATTTGTTGATGTAGCACTGTATATATTTCCTCATCTTACTCACTTTGTTATTTATTACGTTCGTGATCAATCTTAGTCCGCTGTTTTTGTGATTCCTGATTGCCCGTCCTGCTTGGACCACGTTTTGTAGTCTGCAGTATGAATAAATAATAAAACGACCCGGAACTAGAACCCATACTTCGTTTTTCAGAGGGTCACACTTCAGCTGTACCTAGACTGTTTGCGAGAGGGTTTTTGTCATTTTGCTTGCGCAACGACGTCCTGTATAAGATGAACTTCAAGTCACACGGAAACGACTACTTACTCGTCGTGCCAATATCTCTAAGGAGTGAAGTATTACAAGCATGCCATGATGAACCAACATCCGGCCACTTGGGTTACACACGTACGCTGTGCAGAGTGAAGCAGAAATACTACTGGCCAAGACTGAAGGCGACCGTTCAACACTATGTTCGGACGTGCCTTGATTGCCAGCGCAGAAAAGTCCCACCCGTCAAACCAGCAGGCCTCCTCCATCTTATTGACGTGCCTGTTACTACATTCTCTCAGGTCGGAATGGATCTTTTGGGCCCATTTCCTACCCCGTGGGCAGGTCACAGATGGATTATAGTAGCCACCGACTACCTCACTCGTTACGCCGAAACCAAGACTCTCGAAGGGGCACCACAAGTGAAGCAGCCTAATTTTTCGTGGAGAATGTGGTGCTAAGGCATGGCGCTCCGTCAGTGATAATAACTGACACAGGAACAGCATTCGCAGCCGAACAATTACAGACAGTTTTAAAACTTAGTGGCACATCCCACCGGCGAACAACGGCGTATCATCCGCAAGCGAATGGTCTTACGGAGCGTCTCAACAAGACACTTGCGGATATCCTCTGCATGTACGTTGATGTGGAGCATAAAAACTGGGACGAGATCTTGTATGTCACGTTCGCCTATAACACGGCTCATGAAGAAACAACAAGAACAACGCCATTACGCCTTCTTCGTGGTCGTGAAGTCAACACTATTCTGGATGCCATGCTGCCACACGAGTGAGAAAACGTCGAGACGGATGCTGATTATATCACCCAGCTTGCCGAAGAAGCCCGGCAACTATCACGCCCACGTATTAGTCGCCAGCAGGACTACGATTCAAGACGATACAATCTTCGTCACCGACTACTGTCGTACGAGTCAGGAGAGAAAGTTTGGATATGGACTCCTATTCGGCGCCGTGGCCTTTCAGAAGAACTGTTAAGACGGTACTTCGGGCCCTATAAAGTTCTACGACCGACGTCTCAGTGACATTAATTATGAGGTAGTTCCTGATAAGGCGTCGAAGGTGTGCTCCAGAAGTTGTGCACGTTGTTCGGATGAAACCTTATTTCTCCGAATGAACTCATGCGTTTCCAATGAGTACGAACCACTTTGATTATAAAGCATCGGGACGATGCTGTCTTGAATGGGAGGCTAATGTCACGGCTAAAGGCGGGGCAAGAAGACAGAGGACGACGAAGTGACAAGTGTGGACAGCACCCACGGTTGCTCCGAGGAAGACGACGTCGAAGCGGCTGCTCTTTTGTGCTGTTAATACAGACCTTGTCTTTCCTGGTCGCACCGTCGTTCTGTATCCTGCTATTTTGACGTCGCGACAATATATATATATATATATATATATATTCTGACGAAGGCCGTGCCACGGCCGAAACGTTAGTAAATACGATCCTTTTCTTATGTGCTATCTGCAAGTTAATTCAATATATATATATATATATATATATATATATATATGACTTGAAGAAAGCATCTGATAAGCCCTGTAAATATTGAAAAGCACAAAATGCCTCTGTTACACTTAGGGAAAGAAGCCACTCTTGGGGCTATAGTTTCGCAACACAACTTGCGCGTTGGTATACGTGTATACCGCTTCTGCTAACATGTATATGACTGCTTTAAATAACTCTTGGTGTATGTAGACAGAATAACTCACGTAAGAATAAGCGTTTCGGTTTATCCTATACGCTCGTTCGCGGCCGAAGGAAGATTCGTTTTAAATACAAGGAAGTCTATACGTCAATCAGTACAGCATAACGTATGTACAGGCTGTTAGTTACACTTGAAATACATCATTCGCTAACAAGAGTTTAAGCAACAACACCACTAGGGGCTGTCAAAGCTTCGAAAAATAGAAAAGCGCGCTACACTTGTTATCGAACGTATCGGTGCACCGCATGCATTATACCCAGTGGCGGCGCGCGGCTAAATGGTGGTTGTCGTAGCAGACGACGCACCTGTCCTCTCCTAGAATGGAGCGCGCGGGCATCAAATCACTCTAAGCGGGCCCGCGTTTGAACCCCAGTGTGTCTCTGGTGTTTTTTATTAACAAAGTTTGCTTTTATTTGTGCGCTAGTGGTTACGGACACCAGCGGTTGAACAAATACGGCGCCACACGTGACCCGTGTTCTGATCTCGTAAAAGCTTTCGCTGTAAAAAAAAAAGAAAAAGAAAATGTGCAAAGAACTAAAGCATACGTAGCCGGAGATTAGACTTCGTGGCTGGTAACCAATGAGTGAATTTCTTATCTGTTGTCTGGACCACGCAGCAAAAGTATACAGACGTTTTCGAATCTTGGTACTCCTGAGAATATCGACCTTCTTCGGCCAGGATTGCAATCTACAAGCACTTACAGCTTCCTAAACTAAACTCGCTTTTCACGAAGGTCAGTGAAAACTTCATTAATGCCGAGCCCGATTTCACTCGAGAAACAGGTGATGTCGGAAACATGGTAGCAATGACGAGTTACCGAAATGAAACCCAGCGTTTGCACATGGAATATAGCCATCCTAATTTGTAGCTCGGACTCGGGAAAGAACAGTATCTCGAGGCACGAGTTCGTACAGTCTATGAGGAACGTACTGCCCACTCTGAAAAAAGTTTTCCTTTTTTTCCGTGCTTTATCACTGGCTCGGCGCTGTATGCGCAAGTTGGCATATAGGAACGGTGAAATGAAATATTCAGTAAATAAGACAAGACCATTGTTCTTGACTTGCTTTTCGTGTGAACTTTATTTTTGGTTGATCGCATTTTTTCAGCATTCACATCTAGAACAAATAATAAAAATGAACAAGAGTTGAAATCTCGTACATTCACATATTAAAACCTTGCATAAATGACAACGCGTTCGAAAGAGAAATATGAGCAGGCGATATAGAACGCCGTATTTCTATTCATACAGTCGAGAAAACCTCCATACCTTTTCCAGATCGTTCATGCCACTTCTGAGCACACTTATCAAATATCCATTTAGCGCTTTCCTGCGAGTATTTAATGCTGGTTTTAAAGGAGGTGCAGAAAGCGGTCGACGAGAGGCAGGATGCGTAGGACACTCAAGTCTGCAGCACAGTTGTTTGCAAAGAAAAAAGATGTAAATCTATGCTTTTCTTCGAACAACCAGTTGCTGCGCGTACACGACATAAGCTTCAAATGAGCATGTGACACTGAAACATGGAGCACATACTTTCTCCTGTCGGTGAACATAAATCACCAAGCCACGGATGCTTTGAAAAGAATGGCAACCAAAAGCATGGAACTGTGACACACAGCTTGCTCCAGATTGAGGACCTTAGGTGAGCTGTTGGCCTAGACGTTTAAACTTGAGAACCGATGATGCTGGGCAAAGCCTAAATACTCCACAGAAAACACCAATGAATGAGCCGTGCGGCGCGGTTACAAACAGTTCGTGGTCACTGCCTTCCTGATGCATGCGCGACGTACGGTGATCGAAACCCGTGATCACATATTGTTAAATAGCTAATTTTATTTGTAACAAGCTGCCACATGTTACGCCACTTCATACAGGATGCACGAGGTTCCAACCACACGAGTTAAAACGAAAAAAAAAAAGCCGTCACGGGAAAGTTTGCGATAGTATTGTTTTAAAATGAAGGCGGCCGCTTGCTGCACCGCGAAGCATAGGAAGGAACGGCGCACTACGAGGCACGCAGGCACGACAGTTCAAGTCTGTAGGGGCACACTTGTTCCGGAGCGTAGGTAGCCGAACGTGTTTTCACCACTGTAGGCGAGGTAGAGGAAGCCATCGTCGTCGTGGTACGTGGCATATAGGTCTCCCATGCTGAGGCTGCGAGGTGAAACAAGAACTGCACTCAGCGTCGAGAAGACTTTGCAAGAAAGACTCGCGAACTGATCACGTTTATAATTACTATAAAAGGGGTGTGCAGAAGTTGATTTGATTGATTGATATGTGATGTTTAACGTGCCAAAACCACCATAAGATTATGAGAAGCCGTAGTGGAGTGCTCCGGAAATTTCGACCACCTTCTTTAACGTGCACCCATATCTGAGCACACGGGGGTGTGCAGAAGTGGCCGACAGAAAAGAGAGAAGGAATACAAGAAAAATTACGCCATCTCTCTCTTAAAGGAACCTTGTGTAGATGTGAAGCAGCGGGTGCTAACGTTTACACTGGCGGTGGCGTTGACCCTGGCCCTCATCGCGGCGTTGCGCAGGAGAGAAATCTGGGGAGGCGCAAAACACGCAGGGATGGACCGGTGTTTCCTACTGGAACATGCCAATCGCTCCCAATGAAGAGTGAGAGAGAAGACTGATTGGACCGAGCGATGTATACTGCACCGTAGAGAACAAGGACCGAAAAAGACACACTAGCGTGTATATTCTGCATTTCATGATATATTTATGCAGTGCGGGATAAGTAAACCTACAGGTAACAGTCTGCGCTAGTCCTTGTCTTCTTTTCGTCCGAGTTTTCTATCACGCAGTGTGTACCGATCATGAATCGCCAACTGGTCCAATTATCCACTTTGATTGGACAGAGATCCACAGTCCACCTTTACTTAACGCACACGCTGTGAATTTTCATTGTTGAACAATGCATAGCAGAAATATCCCACCAGCACTATTTTGGAGGTTAATCCATTGCCTATATAGGAGGTGGTCAGGGAGCCGCAGTGCTGCCAATTCTAAGGAAATTTTTCTAGACCTAGAGAATTTAGGATGTACTTAGGGGAAAAGAGAAATCTGTCAACATCTATAGGGAAATTTTTCACTTCCACGTTAAACAAGCAGATCGACGAAGGAACCTACCACCCACAACCTATTTTTCGTTCCTTTTTCCACCTTTTCTCTTTTACACACTTTCTACACTCACCTAAAGCCGCCGTGCGATGCCATGCGAGGGGGTGACGGGGCTGCTCTACGCCCCCAACGCTGTGTCAGCGCTCTCCTCTCCCCTACTTCATCGCATGCAGTTCATTCTGTGCCGTCGGTGTTCGACGTCGATTGCCTGAATCCCAATTCGAACCAATGAACAAAAACTTGTCTCTTCTGAACCCACCAAATACGTTTTCATTACACCAACCTTCTATTTTCTCGCCTTTCAACAGCGGCATGACGATAGTTATAGCGCGAAAACAAAACGACAACACAGAGACAAGAAGGACACGAACGTCGTTTTGTTTTCGCGCTATAACTATCGTCATGCCATACCAACCAGCCCAAGCTGCCACACTTCAACCGCGGCGTTATTTCTTTGAGCTGTTGCTGTTTTTCTTTATCGGTTTCCATTTGCGAATGCGGTCATGTTGCTAGTGAGCTGCCTAGTGGAGCCGTGGCTCCGCCAAGGTCCCCAAGGTTTTTGTGAAAAGCGCGGCCAGGGCAGTAGCTGCATGTATGCGGTTATTTGCACTGCTGAAAAAAAAAAGTGGCTGGTGGAAAACTCAAAGATATATTTCAAACGAATGTATGGCAGTCAACATTTCTAATACACATATCTTTTCTCAACCACTCAGCAAATTGCGAGGGATGAACTGCCAACTGGCATTATATGCTTTCATGGTTCTAGTTTTTGTCACAATGTATTGTACATATAGCATAAAAAAAAGCTAAAAAGTATATTTTTCAAGACACTGTTTATAAGTTTTGCAAGCGTGCATGACTTTTATATGGACGCCACCAAGCATTTTCCGCAGGAGAGTTGCAAAATAACAGAATTTATGAATATTTAAGCTTGCTCGCAGGAATATTACATATACTTCGCTTTGTATGCTCGTTCCGACTATTTTATTATTATTACTATTATTAATATTATTACTATTATTATTATTACTATTACTATCATTATCATTATCATTACTATTACTATTACTATCACTACTATCACTACTATCACTACTATTACTATTATTATTATTATTATTATTATTATTATTGTCACATGCATGCGATTACAAGTGTACTCTATCGTCGTGTAAGATCATGTTTTTTGCATTGAACAGCTAGCAGCGTTCTTGACTATTTTCATAATTTATCCCTAATTCGGCCTATATGCACTGCTTTGTAATATATGTACTGTTTCTTGAAATGTACGATTGTGTGTAGACGGAATGATTCCTTCTTTCTTGATTTGTATGAAAAACTACGAAACCACATGCTTCCCCCCCCCCCAAATGTGATGAGCGCTTTACCTTTGTGATTTCATGAAATACAATGGTGGTAAATGCTTTGCAGTTTGTACTGCGACATTTTTTCACCTTCAGCACAGTGATTATACTGAATATTTTCAAACCAATGCACACACGAATGCACCTATATATCACAAAGGTGAACTTTTCTATCTTTCATCTCTCCCATCCTCCTCCCATGCACAGGGTATCAAACCGGCTGCCTATAGGCTGGTTAACCTCCCTGCCGTTCTTTTCCCTTCTATTTTCCTTCTCTCTTGAAATAGTTCTCCACAGCAAAAACACATTAGTGTTCCAATGAGAAATCTAGGGAATTTTTATCTCTCCAGAGAGGGAGAAGTGGCTCCGCAGGTTGGCAGCACTGAGTGAGCAGTTCAGCGCGAGGAGTGAATTTTCTCAAACAATTAACCCTCAGTAGACGATGCCTGCATCGGCGTTGCGAGGCGAGAGAGGTAAGCGTAGGAGAGAAGGGGATACGCATGCGCAATGGGGGTGTAAACGCTGCTTGGAGCAATGCTTAGAGGAGAGAGAGGGGGAAAGAGCGTTGACTAGCAGACGCTGTATGCAATGGCGTTGCGAGGTGAGAGAGGGGAGTGTAGCAGAGGAGAGAAGGGGAGGGGATGCGCATGCCTAGTAAAAGGGATCACGCCGCACACCAGATCAAGCTCGGCCCCGAGACGCTTCGCATCAAAAAGGCAGGGAGGTTAGACTACGGCTGGTTTGCTACCTTGCACATGATGAGAGGAATAAAGAGTGAAAGATACATTTCAAAACACACACACACACACACACACACACACACACACACACACACACACACACACACACACACACACACACACACACACACACACACACACACACACACACACACACACACACACACACACACACACACACACACACACACACACACACACACACACACACACACACGAGTACCGATGTAAGAACTTTATAAAGGTCCAATACGCCGTGCCAGTGTCCTAGCCCGAAGCGGGCCACTCCCGCGTGGGGACCGAAAGACCTAGCCTTTCAGCCGCTTCGTAGGCCCATTGGACTGCCCATAACTGTCCCTCTAATGTAGTACTGCGCAAAGCTGCGTCCCATCGTTCTTCACTATTTTCCTTGTCGGTGCACGCGGAGCAACGCCAGATCACATGAGCAAGATCTACGGTGTCGTGGCATTTATCGCATGTTGTAGAAACACACAACTCCGGATAAATCTTGTTAATAGTGGGTTCGGATAGGTTTATGTTTGTAATCGCCTGAGTGTAATGACCTGAGCTTTGTTTTAGTTTATTGTGTGGAGGCGGGAAGACTGCGTCCTAGAGGGTCAATCAATTTTGCTGCCTTCAACAACTCCACATGGCTCGTATGGTTGTCTCGGAGTCTTATTAAATGAAAGGCGTATACCATCGAGTCTCCTGAAGGCATACTGGGGGAGCGAAGATGATAACAAACAATATCAGGGCTTTAACGTGCCAAACCACAACATGATTGGGAGGGACCTCGCAGTGGAAGGCTCCTGAAATTTATACCATCTGGTCTTTAACGTGCAGTGACATCGCTCACTCCACGGGCCTCTAGCATTTGGCCTCCATCGAAATGAGACCACCGCGGCCGGAATATAACTCGCGGCCTTTGGGTCAGCCACCGAGCAGTTGACCGCTACACTACTGCTGCTGAAGGGGAACTGAAACGCAATCACTGCACAGCTTTGATGATGACACAGCCGCCTTTGGTGGAAGGAAAGTTATGTTGACGCATGTAAGGTAATTAAAGGACCGAAGGAACTGCAGCATTGACCACCCCCTTGTCAGCTTCACTATATGTATACTTGTCACTGACGTCTTACTGCTATATAAATATGCGAGAGGTATTAAACATCATTAGTACTCGGCGTGTCTGGGTTCGTAATGCCATAATGCTACAGTGCAGTTTAGTTTTATTATCAAGGCAAGAAACAAAAGCGACGAAGGGAATGACAGGCAACAGGAGGTGCACTAAACTTGCTAACTTTTGTTTATTCTATGCGATCCTACAGCACATTATATGGCTCGCTTAGAGCACACGTGACGCCGCAATCATGAAGAAAAACAACTAAACGTGTAGCGCAAGTCCATTGGTCGGCAAAACCTGTGAAGCTCACTCAGAGTCACTCATGAAATACATTTGGCGCTTTGAACTCACTCGGACTTTCGTGTGCTTGACTCAGTCGGACTCGCACTCATAACTTGATCCCAGTTCGAGTGAGTCAGCTCATGAGTCTGCCAGCCTAGAATTAGCTTTCGTGACCAAGGTCTCAATGCTCTTTAAAAACAATATCTCACGTAATCGGTGCTCTTTTTGACATCATTTGATATGGTACCGAAAGCTCGCAAAGCAGTAAGGGCATTTTTCTGGAAAAAGATGACAACATGAGATATAATTATCAAGAACCTTCTCTATGGTGGGGAGTAATTCACGCCTCTGACCAATAAACATTGAAATAGTGTATATGAACAAAACTTCTTTGGAATACGTTTGAACAGACGTAAGCAATCCAAGTAAGGGTCACAGCAATGTTGCAGAATAGTAGATAGAACCATAGGTCAGCCAAAGAAAGTAAAACTCACTCAGAGTCACCCGAGAAATGTATATTGCGCTTTAAACACACTCGAGCTCAGAACCACCAAAACTTTCCTGGGCCAAACTCACTCTAACTCGCACTCACCAGAATTTTCTTGAACTGCACTCAGTCGGACTCACTCAGCAAAGTTTTACTCACCCGGACTCACTCAGACTCAACTCCCGGCTTGATTTGAGTATGAGCGAGTACGAGTGAGTCGACTTATGAGAGTTCGCTGGCCTAGGGGCCACGCCTCACACGTAAGCAGGAAACGCAGTTTAAGCCAACATCAAATTAAGAGCACTTCACAGAACACATCTTGACCTCCCAAGAAAATAGAGGTTTAGTGACCGTTACTACTTGCGTGCGTGAAGAGTTAGTAAGCGCGTTACTATCTCTATTAATGTTATGCTGCCATTGTAGAAGTGATGCGGAAATTTTACGCTTATGTTCACAATTATGTCTGACTAATGGTATTGTGCTGCGTTATGGCACGTGTACATACAAGAAGTTACAAGAATCTTGGCCCAAGTGATGGATTATATGTTTCAGTGGCTACTCATCGTTGTAACATAGGCTGCCCTGGAGTAGAGGATCGTAAATGGTCTAAAAGTTGCGGCGCTGTTCGAGCAATGTCACGCAGAATACTTCTGTTTCTGTGTGAGTTTGGGAGTTTTGTTCTTCGTTCATGCCTTAGTCGTCTGAAAAAGTCATTGTTAGGTGTACCATAGGGTAATCGCATGCACTAACGAGATGTTATTACTTATAACAAGACAATGCCCTTTGCAACGGAATCAGCTTGATCTTGTTGGTTTGCCATTACTCGTAATCTGTTGTGGGCAGAAGACGTACACTGTAACACAGGCACACACACACACACAACGTGCCGTGTGTATATGTTTCTGTCTATGTCTTGTACGCTCAACAGTTTACGAGTAAAAAAAAGGCCAAGCCATTTTTTTATAGAGTCTACTAACAATAGTCATTCTCGAATGGGCAGCGCACAGAAGCGCACAAAGCACGCATAGAAAGACGCAAACACAAGTGCTTCACAGCAACTATGTTTCTGTGCAGCGCTTAGATTCGCGTATTTTTATGTGTTCGTGATTTGTGTGCTTCTGCGTGCTGCTTCGAATTTCATGGCTAACCAACTATTCTAGCCCATCAGTACATATTAAGCAATGTAGTGAGTTGTTGATAATAGTAAAGTTACTAAATACACGTTACTTCCTTGTAAGTAGTAACCAGAAGTGATGTCATTGTACTTACTGTCTGCATTGCTAGCTAGGTATAGTGAATGCTGGGACAAGCCTCGACGACCTCGAAGTTAGAAAACACTAATATTTTTAAAGAGTGACAGATAATGCCAACAGACTATAGCAATGTGTTTTGGAACAGGTGGCCGGATGCATACAGTTCGCTAAATTGGGCTTCGGGATGACTACACTACTACAGATACGGCCACATCTTGAGCGCAGCCTTTATTGAGTATGCGATTTCTGGATGATTGGTTATAGTGTTCACCACGAGAAAATTTACGTGATCTTGCTTAGTATACGCGTTTCTGTTTTTAAGAAGTGACGTATGAACTCTGATGGGAGAGGAAGCGCGAAAAGTACACGATATCACATTATTTGAATCTCGTGAATCTCTGCAACCGTCCGTAAGTATAACAGACGAATGTTTTGACAAAATTACTCTATAGAGTTAGCTTCTACCACAGTTCTAAACGAGAGCCTGTGTATGGTTTGGCGAGGTATACGTGTCACACTAGCAGTCCTCTTCAGTCAGCGTGTGTTCAGTAGTAGTCCTCGCAGATGCAGCGACGAACTACAACAACGCACTAAAATGTGTAGTCTTCTCATAGCCATAAGCTCACGCTTAGGGTGCAACGGTACAATATTTCAAGTAAGTCATCGAATGGAAGCTTTAAGTCAGCCCAAATTCAATTTTACGCAACTTCTACTTGTCCATAGTGTACAAAGGCACATGCCTTGCATTTGATATGTGTTCAACATGCTGTTTGACACACCTTGCAGTCACAATGCTGTGAAGCCGCGTTCTATTTCCAAGCACCATAGAAGACCATCCACAGTCGAAGCTCAATTGACACGAGTGAATCGCTCACCTGGATTGGGGCATAAGGCGGCCAACGAAGACGAAGAGTGCCTTCTCTGGCGAGAGATGAATGCGCTTCCGCACGATCCACATAAACTGCGCCACCGTGATGTCATTGGGCACCAGGAACTTCTGCTTGTCAATGGAAGGAACGTGCGAGTTGGGCGCTCGCTCCACAATCACCTGAGACGGAGAACAGGTTGTTTCTGCTTTCGTGCAAAAGTAGAGCAGCTGTACTCAAAAGGGCTTGTGATCCATAATGCAGTTGATTAGAGTCTTTAATCTTAATCTTTAATCTTAAATTCACAGTATTTGCAGGAACCACGACAGCATAGATGCCCGCCTTCAAAAAGCTACAGCACAATACCGTAAGTTGACAATATTATCACGCATGATATAGCGAGACCCAGTCCTAGCTTGGCCGGGCAGCTGTAACTCGAAAGCAGATCGCTGATGGTAGTGCAATATACCTCATGAACAAACCAAGTTAGCCACGTTTATTATAGCACAGGCTAGGTTAGTTTCTATCACCTTGGAATTTCTTGAGACGAGTTTTGCGCCAATAAAATAATACACGAACGATCTCACCCTAGATTGCAGGAGGAGTGATGTGGGATGGCCTTAGATATATTGTATACAAAGAGCTCAACCCTTCGGCAGGGTGGAGCCCTCAAGCGGTTTGAAAGTAACGACGAGGGACACATTTCAAAAGTTACGAGACGGTGCAATGAAAACAAAATGACCACTAGGTAATACTTACACTCTGATCCTACTGAAGATGCTATATCTGCATGAATGATGGCAAAAATGTTTCTAGATTTTTTCAGTTGCAAACGCATTCATTGTAAGGCCCGTAGCCGCGGGGGGGGGGGGGGGGGGAATCCCCAAAGTCCCCCTTCCTTGAAATTTCAACAGAGGGGTGTATTATCGAAAATAAAAATAGGTGTAGTTCTAAAATGACCGATCTCTACACAACTAAATCTGAAGAAATAAGTCAAAGCTGCCCAAATAAGTCTTTTACCTCAATCACTATTACACATTCGTAGTGGTTTGTGTCAACTATCGCGTTGGAACTGAACTGTACAGTACGAGATACTGAAGATACAAAAGGTCTTGCAAACTTCGAACTGCAACAAAAAGTGAGCGCTTCGAACTGCAAGAAGCAGTGAGATATCCCAAGTAGAGCCGAAAAAAGAAATAACAAACTGGAACTGAACTGTACGCTACGAGATACTGAAGATACAGAAGGTCCTGCAAACTTCGAACTGCAAGAAACAGTGAGCGCTTCGAACTGCAAGAAGCAGCGAGATATCCCAAGTGGAGCCGAAAAAAGAAATAATAAACTGGAACTGAACTGTACAGTACGAGATACTGAAGATACAGAAGGTCTTGCAAACTTCGAACTGCAAGAAAAAGTGAGCACTTCGAACTGCAAGAAGCAGCGAGATATCCCAAGTGGAGCCGAAAAAAGAAATAATAAACTGGAACTGAACTGTACAGCACGAGATACTGAAGATACAGAAGGTCTTGCAAACTTCGAACTGCAAGAAAAAGTGAGCACTTCGAACTGCAAGAAGCAGTGAGATATCCCAAGTAGAGCCGAAAAAAGAAATAAACTGGAACTGAACGGTACAGTACGAGATACTGAAGATACAGAAGGTCCTGCAAACTTCGAACTGCAAGAAACAGTGAGCGCTTCGAACTGCAAGAAGCAGCGAGATATCCCAAGTAGAGCCGAAAAAAGAAATAACTGTAACTGAACTGTACAGTACGAGATACTGAAGATACAGAAGGTCCTGCAAACTTCGATCTGCAAGAAAAAGTGAGCGCTTCGAACTGCAAGAAGCAGTGAGATATCCCAAGTAGAGCCGAAAAAAGAAATAAACTGGAACTGAACGGTACAGTACGAGATACTGAAGATACAGAAGGTCCTGCAAACTTCGAACTGCAAAAAACAGTGAGCGCTTCGAACTGCGAGAAGCAGCGAGATATCCCAAGTAGAGCCGAAAAAAGAAATAAACTGGAACTGAACTGTACAGTACGAGATACTGAAGATACAGAAGGTCCTGCAAACTTCGAACTGCAAGAAACAGTGAGCGCTTCGAACTGCAAGAAGCAGTGAGATATCCCAAGTGGAGCCGAAAAAATAAATAATATAAAGAAGAAAAATGTGTGAGGCGAGTTGAATTTAAAATCTCATTTTTGTCCCGTTTACGTCGACAAGATCAGCCTTTATAAACGCTTTTGAAACGAAGTTGTGTGCAAGCCTGCACATGATTGCTATTTCAAGCGCACGATTAGCTGAAGAACAGTTCGAGTGAAAGAACCGACCACCATTTAGAATAAGACTCGTTAATAAGGGTCAATTAGAAATAAACGGGGCGTACTTACACACCAGCTTACTCATTTTTCACTTTCTCACCTAAACACGGAGGGGTCGCAATAAATCGCACATTTCAGGTCACACCAACCGTTCGAACGGCTTCCGTACAACTTCAGTGCGAAGTCTTGTTTTGAACTAAGCGATCTGCTCATCACGTTGCACCAGGATACCGTTGACTCCAAACATTTCTGTACCCACGAGTGCATGGTCAAAATGACTACGCGCTGCTCAGCACGTCAAGAACAATTTGCGGCTTCTCTTTCGCATACTCCGTCTGTTTCGTACGCGTAGCATAGAACTTGCGCGTACACATGTATCAGTAACGTGGCTTGCTGGGCAAGTTGGTTCATTCTATTGGAAACATGAAAGCAACGAATACAAACTGAACGAAGGAAAGGGAATGAGAACCAGACAGGACAAGCCCTGTTCCTGTTTGGCTGCTCTTGGCCATCATTGGCATTTTAATAATGCTTATTTCCTCTGTTGGATACATATAAAGGCTCAGTGGCAGTGCAATAGTGGGCTGTCCAGTCTACCACTGCAGTGGTACTTACAGGAATACGTTGCGGGTACTTCTGGAGGATAGCGTCCGCTTCTTGCTTCCTCTGCTCTAAATACAGAAATATAACAGCAGTGGTTACATTGTAATTGATACAAGAAGGTGAATATGATACAAGCAGCATGAATTCGATAACCACGAGCTAGTTACTCGCGGTTGTCTAGCACAAGGGTATTCAATAACACAAAAAAATAACGCAAACATGGACTACTGAATAAAAACAAAAAAAAGTGAATCAATAAATTATTCCCACAGTGTATTTCGGAAGTTGTATTTTCAGAGACTTAACTTGAACGATTCACTTTAACCTAAATGAGGGTTTTGACTTCGCGACCCGTTCCGATAATTTTGTTTAAGGTTTCGACTAAACACGCACTCAAGCACATGACAAAAAAAAGCAACAAATGAAACAACAAATGAAACAGCAATGTACGCTAATTCCTAGTCTGCAGTATGTTGGTCTGAAGAGCCCTTGACCTCCACCCATACGCGAATGGGCCACGCCCGATATCGGAGCAGTGAATGCATTGCTGAAGTAGACTCAGGGGCGAGGCTGCGAATCGTCAACGGAACGAGCAACTCTGTAGCCGTACAACAAGCGATCACGTTGTGCGTGGTATGTAAAACTCTACCTAAGGAGCGCTCATGGAAGAAATGAAAATTATTGGCGAAATGTTACCGGTGAAGTGGTCCGTTTCCAGTTGACAGAGGTAGCAGGCGTACGCTCGACGTCACGTTCAAATCTATATAGACACTAGCGCGCTGCATTATACGCTTTATCGGCCTTATCGGTATTCTCAATATCAAAAGGGCAGCTTACGAAACGCGTCGCCCACGTTCTCGGCAGCTGCATGCGACGGCACAAACTCGTCTAGATGCCGAAGTTTAGCCTAACAGCTCTCCATAAGATAACTTTCGAAGCTGGTACTCAAAGCATAATCAATGAGAACACAAACGTAAACACGCTTCGGCACGGGCACTGCACATTATACGGCGTTGTGTATCGTGTATATGCACTCACGCGTCTCGTAGAAACGACTGCGTTTCTACACTCATATTAGGAAGTACGTAAGAATTCCCAATTGCTCTGCGGAAGAAAACAGCATAACAAACTTGCAGACTTCGGGGCTGGGCTAATAACAGTGGGCCGTCTATGAATGGAGATTAAAAGGATGAAAGAATGACGATTTTCCATTGGCGTAGTCAGGTGGTGGGGTGAGCGTTCAAATCCTCCGAAAATTTTTCAATCTCGCTAGCGTATATATACACGAGTCATGCAAACATACGCACGAATACACTGAAGTGGGGCTACTACTCCCTCATCCTTGTTTCCTTCCACCTCACCCCCCCCCCCCTCCAAAAAAATTCTGTCTGCGCCCTTTTCGTTTGGTTTTGTCTTGCCCTTTCGTCTGTGCAGACGGGTCACCTCGTACACACAGGGTAACCAATTGATACTTACGCAGTTTTCCTCAAACCATTTGTCACCGTGACCTTGATTATGTAAGATTATCAAGCACCCTGGCTTCACATTTGTCTTTGGCTAGACCGATGAGAAGTCACTCGTTCCTTAAGCGTGGACTGAACCAACAAAATACACCCTTTAGTGCAAAAGTTCTCAAGATAGACGAAGGCCAGCAAGTTTCATCACTTTGAAGAAAATCCACCGAAGAAATATGCCCGAACTACAGAGCATATTTTTAGCTAAAAAAGCAAAACAATAAACCTGGGGCATCTAGGTAAAATGTATGCTGTGCATCCAGTGACGTCGCAGAGAAAGAACGCAAAGAGAAACGAGTTAATGTGCCAGAGAGAACGTGCTTAACAATCCAGAAAAATGAACGCGAGAGTATTGCTCATCTGCACAACTCTTGTTCGACGCGTTATCCAGATTAATTGATTTGTGGGGTTTAACGTCAAAAAACCACCATATGATTATGAGAGACGCCGTAGTGGAGGACTCCGGAAATTTTGACCACCTGGGGTGCTTTAACATGCACCCAAATCTGAGCACACGGGCCTATGACATTTCCACCTCCATCGGAAATGCAGCAGCCGCAGCCGGGATTTGAACCCGCGACCTGCGGGTCAGCAGCCGAGTACCTTAGCCACTAGACCACCGCGGCGGGGCGACGCGTTATCCAGTGTTCAGGCTTTGGAAAGTGTTCAAATGGCACAGCGATATCGCACATTTGACGATTATTTCCTGCTAAAAGGTTTCGGAATCGGTATACGATAACACTTGTGATCTAGTTGATGTTTCCGGAGACTCGTATTAGGTATAATTGCACGACAGGGCCACAAAACTTAAATGCGTCATTTAAATTTGGTGATATGCAAGACTGAAGAGCGTCTCCTTCGATTATACGCATACGGCCATGAAAAATAACGAATACGAACGTTAACTATGAACACGTTTACCGCTATTATTGCACATCTTAAACACCAACTTCAGGAACGAAATAGTGAGCTTGTGTGTCACGTTCCGACAACGCACAATTTCCTGAATTTTTTTTTCGGAGATACGAGCGAGTATTTGTGGCTCTCACCGATTCCAGGCGACACTGGCCTGCGGTATCGCTCTTCCTGCGAACAATTCGCGACATTTAGAGGGACTGGCAAATATTTGAGGCAATAGAGGAATGTATGAAGGCTTCAATATTAGCACAAACGGGTGGTGCATTAAATTTTGTGCACAGCAATATTATATCCCTTCAAATACCCCCCCCCCCCCCCATACACATGGGCTATAGCTATGATACTGGATGCAACGAAACGACGTAACGTTGTGGGCAACACAGCAACTAGCGGAAGCATGACGAACACCTACGTCACAAAGCTAACATGGTTTTTCTTCGTACACTGAAAGTGAACAGCGATTCATCCTAACATAACATCAGACTGAGGAAAAAGTGATTTGCTTCAAATTCGAAGACCTTCGATTCATATATCCTCATTCTGTTATACAAATTGTACTGTCCTTTACCTTCACGCGATTACAACATTCCATTACATGTATGTCATAACGAAAGTAGGTTCAACGTACCGTCGACTAGAGAACCAAGATCCAGCCCCCTAGGTGTGCAATCATTTAAAAAAAAGTCAAATGCACACAGCTCTGAACGGCGCTTAGCTTTCCACTGGCGCCGCGAACTCAGTTAAGGCACGACGACACGCATTGAAAACATGCGATGACGTTATCAACACTGCTTATCGTCGGACGAGACACGGCAGAAATCATGCAAAGTAAAAAAAAAAGATATGATTTTGCAATGTTTCCTGTTGAACAGCTCCAATATCTCGGTTTGCGGGTCAAAACGCTATAATCGAATCAGTCAGTAACCTTTATAATGCCCTGCCCAACATTTGCGACGGCGCAATAGTAGAACAGTTAATGAGCAGTTTTATGCATGAAACAACGGTCATGGGATGAAATGAGCGCAGTTGAGAGAAGCCCGGTGTATCTAGTTTAAAGTTCACGGGGCTGCGGCGTGCGCCAAAAAAGGTCTCGCATTTTCCACATTCTGTTGCCGCATTTTTACATTTTGTTCCGGCATGATCGCTGGGCTCTGTTTTAACGGCGATGAATCACTTGCCAGTAAAATTGCAGTCATGGTTATTATCGCCTTTAGTTCCGAGTTATCTTGTTATTCGCCCTATATGTGCAAGGTCGGCAGTCTGACTCAAGCTGATCTTTTTAGTAAACACCGAATTTTCCCGCGAAGTCGGTCAAAAATTTCCCTCGGAGCAGACCTCTTGGACAATATGTCCTTAACATTTTTGAACACCCGAAATTTGCCGGTAAACAGTGGCGAGTTTATTTTTATTTATTCAGAAATACCCTGCTTTGCCCAAAGGCGTGTAAGCGGGGGGGGGGGGGAGGGGGTTGCAGCTTTGAAAAAAAACAAGTTTTCGTTATGACAGCACACTTGGTCACAATACAATTGATTCCACTCTTGTACAGTATGAACCAAAAAGAATTAGCATAAAGCTTCGTTCCAGTCCAGTATTCTTGAATCTTAAGGTCATTATCAGAGCTAGACAGATAACGCAGTGGTTTAAGGTAAGTGTCTTTATTGATGCCAGTCTTCTTATGGTATATCTGGAATAACAATTTCAAACGCAATTTTCTTCTGCGAGAGGAGAGCGCTTCCCATCCCAGCTCGTTTTTCATTTCAGTACAGCTGTCACCTCGCTTATACCGACTGAGAACGAACCTTGCCGCTCTGTTCTGTATTTTCTCGATCAGATCAATCAAGGACTTTTTGCGCGGATCCCCCACACATCATGCATATTCCAAAATCGGGCGGACAAATGAAATATACGCAGTACTTTTTAGGACAGCAGGGGAGGATCATAGATTTCGTTGAATGAAATTTAGGGCTCTGGCAGCTTTTGCAACTACAGCATGCACATGTGCATTCCATGAACAGTCGCTCGTAAGTGTTACAGCCAAGTATTTATACATTGATTGATGATCAATGACGCCACCATTCAAAAAGTAACGCGCTTCATCTTTTTTTCTTTTTTCTAGTAAAAGACACGTGCACACACTTTTTCACATTAAGTTGCATTTCCCACTTATCACACCATTGCACAATTCGGGTAAGGTCAGCCTGCAATTCAATGCGATCCTGTTCATTTTTTATTTTTCTGTACACAACTGAATCGTCAGCGAATAAACGTATTCGAAAAGTAATGCCATCAGGAATATCATTAATGTAAACTAAAAACAGTAGCGGTCCTAAAACGGACCCTTGAGGACACCGGATGTTACTTCCACTGTAGAAGAAGTAGTACCATTGAGAATGACAATGTCGACGCTGTGATAGATAACAGGCTATCCAATTCAGTACTTTCTTATCAATATTTGCCTTTTCGAGTTTGCGAAGAAGCAAGGGATGGCACACGGTGTCAAACGCCTTTCTGAAATATAACAAAACACAATCTGTTTGACCACTGCCATCAACCTCGGACACTAAATCATGGTAGAACTCAATCTGCTGTGTTGTGCAAGACAGGCCCCTGCTGAAACCATGTTGATCGTCAACTAATAACTTATGTTGATGATCGTTAGTTCACCACTGAAAACGCCATAAGTTGCATTAGTTTCCCACTGAAAACGCCGTGACATGACACCACAGAAAAATTATCGATTACCTAGCACTTTCAGTGAATTGTCAGTTTCCATAATTCGCGGGAAACTGGTTGCAGCGTGCTAGCAAGTACCACAAGTCCGTACAGGAACCAGCGCGCCCATCTCTTGCTTAGCGGGTCGTCTGAATGGCTCTAGAGCATTTACGAATTCTTGTGGCATGCGCTAGCGCGTGCTATGAGAATTCTAAAATGCTCTAGTGCGATTCAGCGCACTGCAACCTAAAACTACAGTGCCGTTTGGCATCTGTTTCAGAGGCTGTTGGGCAAGTAATTTAGATGGCGAAGTGAATGCACGCATGATTCGGTCAATTTTATTTTCGCGCGCGCGCGTGCGTGCGTGTGTGTTTATATGCTAACCTGTTCAATAAACCCTTCGGTGGCGAGGAAGCGCTTGTCCCGTTTTTGTCTTTTTCGCATTCGTCTGTGTACACTCAAGTTCTGTTAAAGGAACGACAAGTGGACTGAACGTATGCGCGATTAGATTCTGGTTGAATTAAAAAAAATAAATTATGGTGACAGACTGAAGCATTCTGTTCGCGAACTAAATACTGTAGGATTTATATATTGCCCCACCATGGTTGTCTAGGAGCTAAGGTACTCGGCTGCTGCCCCGCAGGTCGCGGGTTCGTATCCCGGCTGCGGCGGCTGCATTGCCGATGGAGGCGGAAATGTTGTAGGCACGTGTGCTCAGATTTGAGTACACGTTAGAGAACGCCAGGTGGTCGAAATTTCCGTAGCCCTCTACTACGGTGTCTCTCAATCATATGGTGGTTTCGGGACGTTAAACCCCACATATCAATCAAGTACTGCAGTATTTATGTTTTTAAATTGTGTTTATACGACAATGACCCGTGTGTCAAGCGGCCGAGCGGAAAGAGCCTTGAAGCTTCACTATGGAGTCGAATACTTTGCTGGACGTAGTCACGTCGTCCGATGCTGTGATGCTGACTAACTAAAATGAGTTGCACAGTGAGAAGCGGCGCTGCCTCCGCGGCCATCAGGGGACAATGTCGAGCAGTGGCCCTTGCGCAGTAAACCAGCGTACTCGAACACGAATCTCTCGTGCTCACTGTTTACAGCATACTTTGTTGCGCGTGTATACGAACTCATATTCGCCGCAGATAAAATTTCGATTACAAATGTCTCACGGCGTTTTCCACGTTAACATTCCGTGATTAGACCGAGTGACGAGCTTTCCGTTGCGTTGAAGAAAAAATTGGTCGTCGGTTCCTTTAAACCGTGTACGTGGTATACATGCCCCGAAACTGCCCATTATGAGAGACGGCAAGCGTAGGTATGAAAACCCAATTTACAGTGCCTGGTGTTCTCACGGACAGTTTGATTGAATAGAGCAAACTGAACAAATAACTACTTTAGTTTTTGGCGAAGCGATGGGTGGGTCCACCCGCACAAAATGCAGCCGCTGTAACTGGCAATATAACTTGCATATTTGTTATAAACTGCAAAACGCTATACGATCACCGTGGTAACATCAGAATGAACTGCATTTCACGTAATTCGCTATAGCTTATCAATGATCATACACGGTACTTCTTGGAGCTTGTTCGCGGGAAAGACAAGCTTCTAAAGGCTTTTTTTTTGCCTTTTTTACAGCACTAGGAATTACCGACAAACTGCGGAAATGATGGGTACATTATTTAGTTTTTGTTTATGAGCGAACTGCACTTCGGTTCACATCTGGTTGCTTGGAAGAGGTCAGCACAACACTGGGAAGCACGAAGGCGCTATAATCGAATCGACCACGGTATGGTTTTTAATAGGCCAAGTCGAGTGCTTTGATAATGAAAAAGTGGATTATTTGAAGGAGAGGGAACGAAGCAGACAAAAACAAACAGATATCTTCGTCGCTTGTCTCACACGTACTACAGCGAGATTATAGTTCATCTTTGGAGCAAAGCTGTTCCCTAGCTGTGTACTCATATGCAACCACGTCCACTTGAGCCACTAATTTGGAGCAGTCACGATAGTTGGTGCAGGTGTTCACACTTCTGCATAGAGCACACCAACAGTGTGCTGCATAAAAAGGGCAACATAGTATTTGCATTCCACTTAAGGTAACAGGGAATTAAGATGTCGTTACCATGTCAAATACCGCTGCTCTAGAATTATGCCTGGTAGCAAGAAGTTAGAAAAAAAATATTGTTTACAAGTGCAGTGGTTTGAACGCTTTTCTAGATCTGTGTGCGTAGCGCACGACAAGCAATGACAAAAAATGACAAAAGGAGCCTATAGGTCTATTTTCTTTTCGTGCGTACATAAGCGTTATTGAGAAAAACGGAGTTTACTGCTTAGCAGGGATGATTGATTGATATATGGGGTGCAACGTCTCAAAATTACCATATGATTATGAGAGACGCCGTAGCGGAGGGCTCCCAAAATTTCAACTCGGGGTTTTTTAACGGACTCCCAAATCTGAGCACACGGGCCTACACTGCTTAGCAGTGAATTACTTATACTTCAGAGTGCACATGATCGTCTGTACGTAACCATGGGGCTAACCATGGGGCGTGGGCGGTTCTTTTGTCTTGGGCAGCATCTATGCGGCCGCACCTCCTACCCAGGAAGTGTCTGGAAGATATGATTGACAGCGCGGTCGGCGGCTTAGTAATATGTGCTGATCCCATAACTGTGAAGCACACGTACAATTGATTAGTTGCTTCTGGCAACGTTGTAGGATGCTGAATAACATAGGCGCTATGAAGGGTAACGCCACCTTTTCAGAAATTGCGCAATGTGTGTTTTTCCGCAAGAACAGACATAACCAGCTGCCCTTTTAAAGTTTGACAAACTCGACGCCACTGTAGCCATCTAGCTCAAGGTAGCCGCGGCTAAAGAAACCGTGGCAACGAGCGCACGAAGCATGGCTGCGTTGAGGCATGTTGCAGAACTAAGGACGACAAACGTGAGCTTAATCGACAGGACACTATACGCATGTGAAGAGCAGGACCGGCGGGGCTGACATCTGGCTCACGCCCCACAAAAACGCGGCATGTCCCAAGCCTGAGACGTTGCGAAGCGGCGCCGGCGAGCACTGCTTTGCACGTCCACGGTCAGCGCCCGCGGCGCGCGATCTCACCTGGCGTGTACTGCTGCTTGAAGCGGAACCGTATGCCGTCTTCAGCGCTGGCTCCCGCCCGTCGCATTGCTGTACGCTCAGTGAGCGGCTCACGTCCACCGCCGTCGTGGACACGCAGGGTTATCTGCCGACGATCGCCCGTATTGTTCGTCCCGGCCGCGCCGACCGCTGATAGTGGCTTTGTTTCTCACCACCCGCAGATTGGAAACTTCTTACGCCGACCAGTGGCCGAATCGCAAAACGAGCAAAACAAGGGAGCAAACGGAACGAGCCCCACGAGAGCGCTCGCTTGTGGCGTATACTTTGGCAGTTGGCCTCGTCATCGGCGCGAACAGCTCTCATTTGTGCTTCATATGCCTGGCGGCGAATCTTGCCCCTACCTCCTCCCCCAGCCTGTTAGCCTTATGGTTTTAGAAGAAAAGAAAAAAGAAGGGGCGACGTTAGCTGATTTGCTTTTTCAAGAAACACACACAAACAACAATAACTTGTGACGTTTCTTAAATATTTAAAATCATAAACTTAAGATAATCTGAGCTGATTCACTGACTTTTTATTTGACTGGCAGCAGATGGGTGACGAAATGCACACTCAAAACATCTTTAGCTCCTAATAGCAAGTAAGCGTGCACTGAATGATTGCATGCTCTTTTTTCGTACATGCACCCATAAAATATTTGTCACCTTTATGTCAAAATGAAATGTTGCATCATACGCGCATTTTTTTTCTCGTGCTCGGCTTTGCCATTCTACGTGGTTGTGGTAATCTTGCGCTGACTTAGCATGAAGGCTGTTGGCCTCGGTAGCTTGAAATTACTTTGATGCTCTCGAACTAGAACTAGCGGTATTCGGGCAAATTGTAGCGACGCAAGGTTCTGGAAACAGAGTGCGTTGACCCGATGCTTTCTCTGCGGGTGAAGGGAGCTATGATTATTTGCGGTCGCCCGTCAGGACCGTGCTGGATACAATTTTCGTCGGTGCAATCTTCTTCGGGAATTCGCTTACCACTGAGCCCCTTGTTTAGTTTTATTTGCTCACAGTCTCTAGCAGCAGCCTATAGACTATTTTACGACGGCGTTTCGGTGCCACCATACTGGGCTGTTTACCTTACCATATTGTAGCTTTAACAAGTAAACAAACTGTGCTATAGTGGAGGACGTATAAGCATGAAAATGGTCGGGTTGGTGCATTAGATGCTTTATGATGTTATGAATTCACATCGCGATATACAAAAAATCAGAAAATATTAGTTTAACAGCTCAAGATAGTGGTGTTCCCCGTATGTCCAACATAAAATCTTACGTAAAACTCGGATGTAGCTTTTGTGAAAGCCGTCCAAGCTACGTCGCCTGCGGCAAATACAACGCTGTGGCGTATTTCTCTCGAGGCACTCCTACAAAGCTCCGGAGCGAGTAACTTCAAATGCACCTTACGATCTGCAAGTAAAGCTCCTCTATGTACTCATGTATATGCTAACCCTATTATTAGGCAAGTTTGCTCATGAAAAGTTTGCCCAATCTGCACACGCAGGACGCATGGCAACTTAGATGCACCGCGATTGAGTACATTATACTAAATCACATGCAGTAGATTTTTGTACGCACTCAGAAACAATAACTTGTAGATTTATCAAGCGTGAATTCAGGCCTGTTTTTATGGCTGGAGAAAAACATCTTGCGATTCGGTCTTCCTCTAATGCGATGGGGCGTGAATGGTCACTTCGTGACAGTTTCAAGACTAAGCATTCAGCGTGATAAAACGATTAATTGTCATTGATCGCAAAGTTTGGTAAACATACTCTATGCTGATGACAGAGTTTGATTCTTGGAGTTTAAAAAAAGGTTAAAGAGTTTATGCTGTTAGCTTATTGTAATTTTGTTTGATGTTTTCCCGCAGCGCATGACGTCATGAACGGGCAACATGGCGGCTTAGATGACGTCGAGGCAGCACAATCACGCTGTGATTAACCAGCTTTAGCGTGATAACGATGTCGCCGGAACGTTATTAGACCTTTGCGCAAAATTAGTTAAAGAACCAGCACGCGATGTACTGGTAACATTCACGTTACATCGCAACGTTCGGGTCCTATCATGGTGGGGAGCCAGTGTGGCTGTTTCAGGCACGTCAGTGTAAGCCATTTACATGGTTCTATTCGTTGATTGGATGGAATATACTTTATGCGACAGTGGCTACAAAAAGAGTTAAAAAATCACAAAAGCTGCCCGTAAGTTGAAGTATTCCCCACCGAATTTTAAGGTGATATTGAAACTGAGTTTTGCGGGGGTGTCGCCATACCCAGCGCGCCGGAAACGCGGCCGCTCTGTTACGTCACACCAGAACTTCCTATGAAGAGGAAGTAACGAAGTTTGATTGAAGGCACGTTGTGGCCGTATCTTTTCGTGAAAAGCGTCGTGACCATATCTTTCGATATCGCTTTGAAAATTCTATGATGAGTTTCTGGTGATTTCTAAAAAAAATGGGTGTGCCGTCAATTGTCAATGACTACAACTTGCTAATACAAACAACTGCTCTAGAGTCATCTATTTGAAAAGTTAATGGCTTTTTATTAATTAGACACTCAATGATGTTTTAGCTGCGGCAAAATATTTCTGCCTCGTCGCAGAGTTAGTGTGTGAAAACGTCGGGAGCCTGGCTGTCATAGTATTTTATTAAAGAGTCTGTTTTGTTTTAAAAAAATAGGTGGTTGATTTATCTTTTTAGGAATCGGTATAACATGAAAGTTAAACGTGTCCTCGCAGAGGTAGCTGAGCATTCATTGTGTATTGTTTCACCATAAAGGCAAAGGAATGAATGCTGCAGAACAAATTTCAATGTCACGCAAGGAACGGCAAGCAGCTATAAACTTGCAGCACACACCTCAAGCACAAAGCACGCACAAAACGAGCACTCACAGGACGAGCGCGGACAAACAACTATCACAGCTCGACGCACAAAGCACGCTGCTGAAGCATAAAGAAATACGAACAATAGCCGCAACTCTTTTTCGTGTGTGAGCAGCGCACTCCTTTCGTAAACAAGGTGGAAGCAGTGAGCGAAATGACGTTCGTGCTCTCTTTAACTACTGCAACATTCAAGCAAACTTGTGGTGAAAGCACAAGAAGCACAAAGCACCCGAATCTCGAGATAAGCTCACGCGCGAGTGAGTTACCACGTTATGAATATAGAGAACATCTATACCTAATTTCACCACGCCATGTGGAGGCGCGTGTGCACGGTGACGCGCGAGGGGGCGCATCACGACGACCTTCAGAGCGTCGTGCCATCTCGCTACTAATAATAAAAGCGTGCTGAAGTTGCCGAGCTCTGAGGACCGGCAGCAGTACATGGTGTACGGTGTCAATTTTCGTGAAAGGGAACACGCGAACGCGTGGCCCGCGCGCTCCGGTGGTCCTTGCAGCGCATTCAAGCGGGGGCGATAGCAACCACATCCTATGTTCCAGTCATTCGGTGGCGAGAAAAACAACGGTTCATTGGTGATATGAAACCAGTGACAAAGTAGGAACCACCTCCCTCTTCAAGGCGATTACGCGAGAGGCCGGGGCAAAATTGCCTTAAGGGGGGAGGGGGTTGCTATCTTGTCACAAGTTTCATATCACCAATGACTGGTTGTTCTGCTCGCCACCAGATGGCGGGAATAGAGTCGGTGGTTGCTTGTCAGGAAGCCTTTAGGGAACACAGACATGCTAAGCAGCGGGGTGAACCGACAGATGATGTTGAAAGAAAATGGGAAACCTTTCTAAGCTGTAGAAGGGATGCATCCCTTCTGATCAATGAAAAGATTAGAAGAAAGGGAGCTCAGTGGCTGGCAGAAGTACATAAAAAAGATAGAAAGGCAGCTGCGAAATTTTGGACAACTGGACATGTTGTGCGCACTCGGGTACCTGGATAAGATAAGTATGTTTTTAATAGTCGTGTAAGACGGTACCACTAACGTTTGAAATACCAAGCCCAGCAGTGGTAGGCATGTAAATTAATGTCATACACGGCTTCCATGTCATGATTATCATGTTTTTATTCTGGCATTTGTGTTAATCGTCCATTCACGTCACATAATACCAAACTTGCTATATGTGTAGCTAGCGAAATGGCTGCGAGCGCGTTGTGAGCGTAGCATGTAGTCATGTTGTACATGACACGCATATTATGATTCTCATGTTTGAACGTGTCATTTACCTTCATTGTCCGTTCACGTCATGTGATACCAATTTGGTATATGTGAAGCCAGTGAAACGTCCGCGAGCACATTATGAGCATGGTATGTAGTCATGTTCTTACAAGATACGCATGTTATGGTTATCACGTTTGCACCAGTCGTTTACCTTCACCAACCATTCACGCCACGTTATACGATATTTGGTATATGTGAAGCTAGCGAAGCGTCCGCGAGTGCATTATGAGCGTGGCATGTATAGTTTATGAGATGCGCCGCAATGGAGGGCACCGCATAACCTCGACCACGTCCATTGGCGTCGCAAAGTATATAAAAGGGCTTCCAGCGTGTTACCTACATTTAAATGACACCCCCGTGGTATGGTTTGAGGGAAACATAATAGCTTTGGTCCTATCAATGTAAAATTTCAGGTAACTTCGAGTGGCCCACTTACTTATTCTAGTTGGTGTCTTATTAGCTCTACTGAGTAGGAACATTGATTTGTCAGCAATTATGGCTGACAAATCTATCTTACCTACTTATGTTATATATTTAGCTGGCGTATAGGCATGAGCTATTTTGCGTGAGAACAATATGGTACCTAATATTCTTTACCTCATTACCTGTGTCGCTTGTTCTTGTTCTTATTTAGGACAAAACAACTTGTCATTAAAAAAAAAACCTGGTTTTTCCTATTTCAAAATAACCACACGCTTTCGCTGGAATGACATCAAACCATAAAAACTCCACTCGCAAAAAATATGAAAAAAAAACCTAGAACAGTACAAACGCTTTACGCTGGAACTGTTCGTTGATTGATATGTAGGGCTCGATGTCCCCCAAAAAACCAATATATTATTATGACAGACGCCGTAGTGGAGGGCTCCGGGAATTTCGACCACCTAGGGTTCTTTAGCGTGCACCCAGATCTGAGCATTTGGGGCTACAGCATTGTCACCTCCATCGAAAATGCAGCCGCCGTAGCCGCGATTTGATCCCGGGACCTGCGGGTCAACAGCAGAGTACCTTAGCCACTAGACCACCATGGCGGGGTGCTAGAACTGTTCGTAAAAGCATGTAAGTTACAGCCTATCGCAGAACAATGAATATTGCAAATGAATTCTGCGGAGACCCGCAAGGTCACGGAAAGGGTTAAGAAAGAGAC